CCTTGCCACTGTTTCAGTAATTCACACTGGCTTTTGACAGGCAGGACTTCATGTACAACGTTGTGTTTTTCAGCACCATGCTTGTTCATCCAATTTTTCAGCTGGAATGGGACACTCACAGGTGGAATGACTCTCCCAAACATGTACTGAGTCAGCCATGTTGTCAGAATTAGGAATCAGGTTCCTACTGCCTCTGAGCACAGTCGCACACACAGATATCACTTGTCAGTTCTGCCAACAACAGCCGTGCAATTGCAGGCGTGTAGGACATCTCAAATGGCTCACACACAGGAGGAGATGAGAAGAAAATCCTTATGGAGAAGAAGAGATGAGAAAGATAGACGTGCAAACCAAGAAACATAAAAAGAGTTACTAAACTACCTTACCATGAACAGAGCATTTACCTTTTTAATTATACATGCCTTTTATCTTGCGCACTGTACATAGTTTGCTAAGATTGTGCTTTTGGGAGTTTTTGCCTAAGCCTTTCTTTTCAAAACAAATGCTTCACTGCTTTTCTTTTGCAAATAAAGTGATACCATTAGCTCAGTGCTACTGAAGAGCTGGGCAGTAACAAACAATGTGCAGCAGCAACGCAGGAAGAGGGGGAGGAAAAAGCAAATATTTGTTAAAAGCAGAAAAGGGAAAAAAGCATTTTCTAAACAGGAAAGAAGCAGCTTGGAAGCAAATTTTAAAATGTATTGTGAGGAAAAGCTTCTGTGACAGGAAAAAATAATGATCTGACTACCCATTTTTTATGAAGAAATAAACAGTAAAACTGCTTTCATATATGAATAACACTTACATACTCCCACAGTAAGGGAACATGATTGAAGTTATTAAGATAAAGAGAATACCCAGGAAATTCCAGAATTAAGGTTGCCTGAGAAGGCTTCGTGTGGCCAGTTTGTGCGTATGCACGGTGAGACAGTCTTTTAATCACAGAAGTCACAAAATAATTTGCTCACAGGACCATCATGGTTTAGTGCAAAGCATGGATGGTTCTCACTTAATGAAAAACCTATTGCATGTTTCGTTTTCACCTTAGCAAGTGATCCTACCCCTCATTTACGGCTTACTGCCCAAGCCCTGCTCTGAAAACTAATGCACTGATGTCTTCTATGGACTCTTCCAGACTGTTCATCATTGCAGCCTTGACTTTAAGAACTATCAGAGCATTTATGTTTACAATAGCATTATGAGGGGAGGGCTGACTTGGTGCCATTTTAGACACAAGAGAAATTCATGTCAAAACATAATTGCTAATTTTACGTGCCCATTTGCCAGACTTTTCAGGGTAAAATAGCATCAGGTTGTATGTCATATCTTTCCAAGTACAGAGGTCAACGTCTAGGTGCTTTAACCATTAGATTGATCTGTCAGATCAACTGTCTTCCTTAAAGCTTTTACTTTTTTTTCCACTAATTGTCTACAGTAGATTTCATGTCACCTGTTTTCTATCTGCCTTTGTATAGTTGTGCAATTCTAGAGATGATGGAGGAGATGGGCACATCTCAGGGTGAGATAGCAGGTACTCCTGTGACTGCCATCAGGAGATTTGCTTTGTGTGGATGTCCTCCTCTTTAAAAACAGCAAAAGTTAAGCAAGGTGAAGCCAGTCCCTGCTGGTTTATCAAGTGCATCCTGCAGGAGGGGGCTACCGACTTCTGCCCCAGTCCGCCACAGCCTGTCCTTGCAATCATACCCCGGAAGCCCTCTCAAGCACCTCTCTTGTATTATCTGTGTTGTGGAACTATGGAGTTAATTCTGAAAACAACATCTGAAAGCCCTGTAAGCACCTTGAGGCTCATGCCCACTCTCAGTGTAATTCTGTGCATGAATCTCTCCCCAGGCATTATCCCACTGATGTCCTGAAGGCATCATTATATTCCTGAAATCAAAGAAGTTGCATGTGGGAGGAAAATACAGACACAAAGTTCATCAGAACTCCGTATGTCAGTAAAAGGTAAATAATCGCAGGAGTAAATCACTGCAAGATAAGTCCTTAATTATTTAGGGTTAAACAGCAGCAGCTTCCCAGATGCGAAGCAATATTTTATTAACCACTCATCCTGGGAATACTTACATAGTATGATGTTATTCTGTACAAGAAAGAGAGGCAACATGTGGACTGTGACGCTTAGAAACATTTTCAAATAAGTAGGAAGTAATATTAAAATGCATGAACAAAAAAAAAAATTCATCCAAAGGGGGGAAAAAAAAGCTGTCAAATTTTTTAAGTCAATAGTAGTTTCAGCTATTTCAAATATCTCTGAGATGCTTCTGTTAATTTCTGTTTGCAATTACATTTCCTTATCTTTTCACCTTTCCTGTCTTACTGTATGAAAACCCTGCTCTAAGCACAGGAAAAATTGACTAACTGGCAGTAGCAAGAGGGTGTAACAAAGTGGTGACACAAAGTGCTTTCAAATTCACAGATCAAACTAGCTGGGAGAAAAAAAAAAAAAAAATCCTTCAATTCCTTTCTTGCATACTCTGCCTTCCATAAAAAATGCATAGCTTAAAACCTTCTTGGAAAGGAAAAAAAGAGTGGGGTTTTTTTGATTAATAGCATTCTCTTATTTGAGGAAGAAAAGGACATACAACATAAAAAAGGAAATTGGTCTTGCATGTATGAAATCATGTGCCAAATTCTCAACTGGTGCAAAATAGCAGTACTTTCCTTGCTTAGGGGATGTAATTCCAATCTGTATCAGCCGAGGATCAGATCTAAAGAGCTTTTGCATTCCTTTTGTAAATATAAAAACATATTCAGACTGACCTCAATTTAGACATTAGGTGTACCAGATTGAAACTGGATTGAAGTCTCATATTTCAAAATAGTTTTCAACCTCTTCTTTCTATATTTGATCTGATATTCTCTCCGTTATGGTCAGGAATAGCAGAAGATTTAAGCATTTGATGAAGTTTGTTATACCTTCAAGGTCTACTTACACTTTGATGCGTGTTTTATTAAAGCAGGAAGTGCTTGCCTAGTACACTGATACAAAACTGTTTAAAATCTCCAGGAAACATCTACCCATCTCCTCCATGAACCAGGTTCGCACACGTATGCATAAACCAACCAAACTTGCCTGTATGGCAGGGACAGAAAGACAGCTTAACTTCCATGCTGACAGTCAGACTGACATTCCACCTTCATGTAGGCGGGTGCCAGGTTTTAGGCCAATATCCCAGGTTTTTAACTCTTCATCTGTGAGTGCTACACTAAGAATTGTCTTGGAGAGTATTGTGGGAGCGCTTGTCTGTTCCTGCTGGCCCTCTGCTGAAAACTGTCGTAGCTGACCGCTTAGAGGGGTGACACTTTCTCCACTGAAAACAAAACGTAAAATTACAAATTGAAGCACAGTGAAAGAGCTCCTGGGGAACTCACGTGCCTAAGCAGCTTAGGTGCCTTCTGAAAATCCCACACCTTCACATTTCATCCTCGTGCAAAAAGCAGAGGCATCAGCCATGTACTCCTCACACAGGAAGAGCGAACAATCTCTATCAATGGCTGTATCTAGGTAACAAAATCTATACTCATATTATGAAAACAATCTTCAACCACAATGTTCATGTTTTGTCATGTGGGCTATTGTATGTCACAAGTCCCTTTTTTATTTTAATTGTGAATATTTTTATCGTGTTTTCTTTTTTACTAATTTTCAAGTTGAAACTACGGTTATGGTCAGATGTGTGAAAATTGCACCTCACAGTTCCACAGATATTTTCCCTTCTGACTTTCAGATCAGATCCTCTCAGCTGATAACTCTCAAGCAATTCTCTCTCAGCCTAGTCCCACACTTGCACTCTCTTGGAAGCTCACGCTTTCTGTCAGTAGTACATTTGCATCAATACAGCCTCCTGTGTACTTCAAAGTCTATCTGGAGAAGCTTATTAGCTTATGCTTTCTGATTCTCGGAAATGTCAAGGCAACTCCGCATCCTAAGACCAACCTAATGCTCATAAAACAGAGAACTCTGCTGAAGTGACGCTGACCCTGTAGAAGAAATGCACATAAAGAGCCAGGAAGCTCCATGACTACATTTTCAACACACAGAGCTTCTGTCTGCAGCTGCACTTCAACCACTGTGTTTCAGTAGCCACACATTTGCTAACACCTCAAAAAAGTTCATCTGTAATGCTGTCACTTGTAACCAGTCCAATTATCTCTGCTCATTCAACAATGAAAAACAGAGTCTCCTATAAACGGCCTGGACACAAAAGTTGAACATCCTGGGAGATAAAAAACGCAGCAAAGTTAAGGTTTTACTCAAGAGTCCTACACAAATGAGTAAGCAGGCAGAATGCGGCCCCTTGGTGTAGCATACAGGGAGTAGAAACACATCTGATCCTGATCATCAGGGCTACCAACGTGATTAGTAACATGCAGTTATGTGACAGGTATTTCTTTTGAACATATCAAGAAACTGTATCAAGTAGACTTGATATCGACACAATACTATCAAGTAGCATGGCAGGACAAACCCACTCTCTCCGAGTGCTGTGGCTGCCGTGAATTAGGACTTTACAGTGAGATGTAACTGAATCAAAAATGCAATTAGAAGGTTTTTGAAAGACGAACAAGCATGAACTCCACCAGCATATGGCATTTATTAGATGAAGAAATGGGTATGAGCTGCAAAGCAGGCTTCCAAGAGCACACAGTTATTCTTTGGGATCTTTGGAATTTCACAGCCACTTCGGGGCTGAGAGCATCAAAACAAAATCTGCCAGCCTGGATACACCCAAGGAGACTTTCAAAGGGAAATGCGATAGCATCAGCAGAGGAGCTCAGTTACACAAAAGGAGAGGTGTGGCTGAACCACAACTTTTCTGATTCACATCAAGGCTTTCCCGAAGCTCAGAGCTGCGCTGTCGGAGATTGGTACAGACCCAGAGCCACCAGGAATACACAGTTATTTTCACAGCCTGCTTCACTTGGACCGCAATGACAAAGGAAAAAAGACGAGGGAAGAGAAGACAGGGCAGGCTCACCAGAGTGCGTCCTGAGGTGTCCTGTGAGGGCATCCCTCCGTCGGCAAGCATAGCTGCAGAAGGGACATTTGAACGGTTTCTCCCCAGAGTGCAACTTGATGTGCCTCAGCAGGTTCCCCTTCTGCGTAAAAGAAGCTCCACATTGGTTACAGTGGAAGGGGCGTTCACCTGGGATGGAAATGGGAGAGAGCTGTCAAGAAACATTGGAAGATGCATGGAGCCCATTACCGCGCTCTTTGTAGAGGTGCCATCTTACATAGGTATGGTCCCCACCACCATCACAGGGCACTTGCTAAAGCCAGGGGCCGTTTCTTTTGCACAAGAGGCAAAGCCTCCAATAGTGGTTTGGGGCTCTTCCTCAGCCTCAGCATTGAGGCGACTAACGCAGCCTGAGTTCCACAAAGTTCTCCATCTTGGAGGTTTTACCCTTCATAGAAGGTGAGCTCTGCTCAAAATTTAGATCCGTAACCATGGTTTTGTGGTATTTATGTCTATGGTTTTGCACTTATTTTTAGTATAGGTCCAATCCATACGAGTATTTAGAACTGATCATAACAATTGGACTTGGACAGACGTTAAGGTCTTAGCTTCAAACCAAATCTTTTGCTTACATTATACTTTAATTGAAATCCCTTTTTAAAGGCCGCTTTGCATTGCTAGAGCGGTATGGAGAGAATCAATGCAAGTGACGACCAGGCCCACAGGCTTTGGACAGTAGCAAACACTGAGAAAAATCTTACGGCATTAAACTGTGAAATAAGCAAATTTGTGCTCTAACTAAAACTAATTAAAAAGACTGGCTTGATGAGAAAAAAAAAATTTAACAGAAACTCTACATCTTACCCTCTCCCTTCACCCCAGCCATTCACACACACATGCAAAACTTATTTTGATGTTAATCCTTCATATTTGCCCTAAACAGTGGGGATTAGGTCCATAACAAACATACTTTAAAAAAAAAAATGTATTATTTAGAGGAAAACCCCTGACAAACTCACATAGGTTTTGTGAAATATTATCAAAACCATACTCTATGTCAACATTTGTTGAGGACACTCAGCCTGTTCCAGCATTCTTGGGCAGGCAGTCAGCTCTGATCATCTACTTATCTCCCACGGGGTACAGTGCAAATCAATAGGGCACAAGCATATCGTCATGCTGGCCACTTGCCTAAGCGCTTTACTGCAGCTGGGCACTAGATGCTGAAACGTTTTCACCAACTAGGGCCCCAGTTCAACACGGTCTTGAACATCAGACTTCAGATGTAAGCAGCCTCATTTATTTTTTTCAGCATATCACCTATGACGAAGCCTTGGTCAAATCCTGGTGGGACTTTCTGAGGTTGAACTCATTGGCCTGAAGCACAGTTCTCATGAAAAACAAACATGTTCTGTCATCTGTCACATGTCTCCAAAGCCTTTTTCAATTGCTTTAAAATGATTACTCCCTTTCTGCACAGAATTAATGCTATGTTTTTCTCAAAGTAGTTCATGTGTCTAGTGTAAAGTCCAACATACGTCTGTTGATTCAAATGGAGAGGGAGAAAGAGATCTCCCACAGATGTTCACAAGCAATTCTTGCATCAGTGGTTGAACTCACTGCAGCATTACGGTCCTGCCAGGAGGGCAGCAGAAAGCAGGTGTGCCATATACATGCCATATCTCTGCAACTTCACTTCATGTGCATGAGCTGGAAATTACATCTGAAACCACTGCAGAAGCACTGAAGAAGATCCTAAGGTTCCTACAATCTTGCCAAGAACATTATGGAATAACGATTAAAAAAAAAAAAATCAGGCATCTTCTAATACAGTGAACACGAGCTCATTGGAATTGATAAAGAGTTTGTGGTTTCCCTTTTAAACTCCCACACTATACTTAGAGGATCTGATTAGCCATTATCTTCTTTTACATCATTTCAAAATGTCCATAACAGAGATATGTAAAGAGACTGCAGTAGAAAAATAATTTTTTTTTCTTTTTTGTTTTGCTTTCGCTGTCTGAGAAAATAGGCAAAACCCCTTCCTTTGACACGTTTCTCAGTATTCAGGAATAAGCTTCAGTTTCAGGATGACAACATTAAAGGTGGTAGCGAGTTTCTTATCAAGTCTAAGTCTCTCCCTTCACTCCTGGTCTATTTAGAACTATGCAGTTACTGTGTTTTACCCACTTATCTTTGATATTTTGGAGGCCACATACGAGCAGGTATTATTCCTCGATAAAGTGGCAGCTGAAGAGATGCTGAAAGCCTTTGTTCAGGAATTCAAATAGTCACAGCACTACAGTTCAGTGGCAAAGATGACATAAAAACACGGACCGCAAAGTCACCAATAGTCTGCTCCTCTCTTGCAACGGACAGAGTCTGCTACAATAGTACATTTTACCTTAAATAACCTTTGTATCTATTTAAAGCCAGCATGAATTAATTTCTCCTACTGGCTTAATTCCGGGTAAATAACTGCTTTGATCTGTTTGTTATACTTTTGTCCAATCATTTGATTCCCGCTCCTTAAGCTGCAGGCTTGTGGGATGACCGTTAATTTTAGTCACACCTTCATGATATTGATCAGCAGCTTTTACATTTAGCACAGCTAATCTGAGAGACAATTATCCAATAGAAGGGTGCACAAAGAGAGTCAAGACTCAATAATAAGAAGATTTTGCTGGTTCTCCTAGAACTCTGCTGTCTGATGCCCACTCTGGATACTAGCAAACCAGCCTTCTGTATCACTTCAGTACCTTGAGAAGACTGTTTTCCAATTATTTCTCCTGCTGGTTTTTCCTAGTAGGCTTGTAAACAGTTCTCCAGTATTATTACTTCCTAATAACAAAATAATAACCTTGACATCCTTATCCACTTCCCTTACCCTCCTCTGAAAGTAAGTTTTTATTCATAGGCTGGAATTAATCACACTTCAAACTAAACATCCACTCACAAGAAGTCTTTAAATACATTTCTTCTCTACATAGCAGTCCCTGACTGTTTAAAATATTTTCCTGTCATATGGGGTGATGGCACCACAGACATACCAGAAACTCTCGACCCATTATACAGGTGGCATACACGACTACAAGAGGTTAATGATAATTATAATTATGTGTTTTTCACCATTTATAGCCATGTATTTACTGTTTGACTCTATACACTTATGCCAATTTATTAAAATAAGAGGTCCTTACAAGAACATGTACTGAAAGGTGACTAAGCAAGCTTTTTGCTTTTCAGCACTGGAAACTACGTGACTACAATGTAACTGCAAGATTTTTTTTTTTAGCCTACTTTAAGTATTAAACTATTTTAGAGCTAAAGCAGGGCAGAAAACCCTCAAAACTTAGTGATTTAAAAAAAACAAAAAAAGAGACTTTCTGAGTGGGGAGAGGGGGAGGAACAGCTAACCAAACAAAAAAGATGTTTCTTTTCAACTCCAAACTTAAGATCTAAAGCCAGACAAAACCAAGAATGCCTAAAAAGCCTTGCTCTGCAGCACAGGGAATTTAATTAACGGAAGTTTCTTCAGGAATGGACAAGGCAAGGTAAGCCGGAGCTGCAAAGTATTACCTTTCCTAAAGGCTTATTAAGAGGGGCTTGTCCCAGGAAACAGCTCTGACAAATAAATAAATAAATGGACGCACGGGGGTTTACCATTTTATTGTTAAATCAAAGGTGTGATTAATTAAAAGGTACGATTTCAAATATTTGCCTCTAAATTACAGTAAAATACTGTTGACACTTCACAGTTCATTGTTTAACATGCATCTATTACAGCTATGTCTCCTCCAGGAAAAAATAATAATGAAATATTACCACTCTTTAGCTGCACTAGTATCTAAAGTACACAAGTTAACTTGCTGTTGTGTAAACAAATACTGAGATGAAAGGTGAAGTGGACCAACAGAGTCAGGGTTATTAGCAAGACATAGTCCTTTCATAAGTATCTTTAATATATGGCAGCTGGCTGAAGACTTCATAGCACAAGCTACAAACGCTGTCTGGCTGATACAACCCGAAACCAGGCGAATGAACTGATTAACTTCCTACTAATAGCTTTCATATTTTACCACGTATATGTCAAATGTTATTTCAAAAAGCAAACCAACTCCCTTTTCTGCTTAATTGGAAGCTTCCCTGTGCAATAATTCTCCTTTACCGCCTCAGCACGGAAGTGCTGCGCAGAAGTTTCAGTATGAGTTATTCTTCTTTGAATCTCATAGCGGTGCAAAATACATCAGTGATAATTTCTGTATCAAAACAGAAATTTGACTGAGGACAACGAGCCTGCAGACCTCGCAACCAAGGAGACTTAGGTTTTCGTAACCCTTGGCTGGTAACTTTTGTCCCTTTGAAATCAAATGGAAGGACTCGCAAAATAACGCACTAGTTCTCATTAACAGCGAGGCCTGATTATTTCTACAGCAGTGCTCAAGTCCCTTGCTGTGAATGTTTTAATTACCTTTTTTAAAAAAACGCTGGTTTTAAAGTCTCTTCACAGTAACAAGGAAAGCTAGGATAGAGTCCTTCTACACCAAAGAAACAGGTCTAGTGGAACTACATTTAACATCTGTCCTGGCTAAATGTGTATCTAAGATTCTCAGCCTTTTTTATTTGGCACATATTTTTGTTATGCAAAATATAGCTTAGGTACTTCTCAAACGGGATTTTTTTTCTAACCTCTTAGTGCAAAATACTGTGCCCATGCTGCCATCAGAAAGTATTTGCTCATAGTAATAATATTTAACCCTTCCGTAAGAGGCTTTTTGTTAATATTCAGCTAAAATGAAACATTTCTCCCGATACATCAGATGCTGCAACTGCTCTGATTCTGCTCTGTCCCGGGAGCACTACTGAAATATCAGCTGTGCTGACAGGCAGTGAGCTGCAACCTGCCTTTACCCAAGCGAGATACAGAGCAGCAGACACTGCTCCACTTCTATAGTCATTATTCTGGGGACTATATAGTAGTCTACATACCTACTTCCCATTCTATCAGATTCACTTAACAGGCTGCACATCACTTGAAATCAGTGTTTTCCCTACTTTTTTTTTTTGTTGGGAAAAACCTACTTCCAAATAGGGCAATTTATTATAAAACAGTAGTGACAAATTTCTAATGAAAAATTCCTGGGAAATCCTGGGTGATTTCCAAGCATCCTCTGTACACAAATTTATGCCTATATTCTTAAGAGAGAAAAATCCTTTAAGTGAACTGGTAAAAATATCAGAAGGGTTTAGCTACTGAGTACTGTGAGTAAAACACATCCTTAAGCAGAGAGCGATTTTGAAAATCTAAGCTCCCCTTCCTTATGCCTGAGTAGAAAATGAGACTTTAGGTTCTTAAATCTAACTTGTCCAAAGTAGAAAATATCACTTTTGGAAATTTGGCCCTACAATTTTTGATTCAGTGCCAAACTGATTCATATTGCAAGAGGCACGCAGCCTACACTAGGTTAAAAATTACAAATTAAACTAAATAAAACCTTTCTACTCAAAAAATAAGACAGGCAGGCCAATGGAGTTAATCATAATGTGTTAATATGACCATTTGTTTAAATTTGTTCCTGGTTAGCTGCTTTAGGCATAAAAGTCTGTTACACTGAACAGCAAAATTGGGTGTTTCCTCATTTATTAATTGTGTCCCAAAAACTTGAACTCTCCATTACAAAAAAATTAAATAGCATTCAGAGTTCCAGTGTTGCATATGTTCAGCTATAACGCTATGGATGCTAAAGCGGAACTTGAAGATTTCCCTCATGGGCACGTAACGTATCTCAGTTCACTGACTTTATGGTACTAAAATGTACGTGGAGTGCAAGAAAAGATTCGAGACCCTCCTGCGGTTAGTATCCCAAAAAAACCCTAAAAATAACCTATCAGCAGCCCAAAGCGAGAGTGGGACAAGACTGCTATTCCCACTGCCTGCTGCGTTGTGCCCTGTACCCGGGGACCCAGCTTTGCTCTGCCACCCATCCTGCTGCGTCCACACAGAGAAAGCGTTTAACCTCTGGGTGTTCTTAAAAGAGTGAGGGTGATCCCAACCCTCCCCAAGAAATAATAAGTGTTTCAAAATCCAGCAGTGGACTAGATAAAGGGCTGCATGCTACGGTGGAGGAAAATGACAATTCACATCACATGGGAGAACAACGCGTGGACCTCGCAGATCACAGAGCCAGCAGCACGGCTGTACCAGCAAACGGTTTCTCCTTTACCAAAAATGAGAGGCAAGGAAATTTTAATTCAGGCCCACTAGCAGAAAGCCTAAAGAGGTGAGAAATCACTGGAGTTCCTTTTCAATACCTCAGACAAATTGGATTATTGACCTTATCTTCTTCCTCTCCCCTTCCCTCAACATCCCCAAGCACAAGCCCCTGGAGTATCCAGTGGCAATATTATGTGACCAGTCATCCCCTGCAGTAACAAAAAACTCTGATAAAGATGCTGCAACTCAGGGCATGTGCTGCGGAATATGAAATTTGGACAAAAAGAAGATAGTATGGGAGAAGAGGAAAATAAATCAAACGTGACACATGCTATTTTTCTGACATGAGGACATGGCGGAGGGGGGTTATGCCACTCACTAAAGCGGGGAGTGCATCACGCTTAATTCCCACATTGAGCGTTTTATTTATTTTCTGTCAGCAGTGACAAATAAATAGAAAGGCCTTCTCCTGACACCCATGCAGACTACAAAAACGCTTCACCTGAATTATCAGTGTTTCAGAGGAATGCTGTGTTCAGCAGTATCAGATGAGCAGGGCCGTGGGCTCCATGATGGAGCTGCCATGGACCAAAGCATCGCTGGTACCACATGCACAAGGCAGCGCTTGTGCGGATCCAAAGGATGTGGCGGGGAACTCCCTGGCTCGGTCTGTCATGGGAAGGGGCGACTGCAGGCATCGGAGGAAACAGATGCTCCAGCACATAAGGATGAGAGATGAGACACTGAGCTCATCTACTCTGGCCTCACCTACAGCACAGGTTACATTCCCTGTCCCTGTATCTGTTTGACTAAACTACCATAATGTGGCAAGGAAGACAACGGCTCCTCAAAAACAGATGAGTAATGGCTGGAGAAGACCGTGCCCCTTTACATGCACAACACAGCCAAAGCCATATGGCACAGCTTCTCACAAAGCCTGGGTCCTGGGGTCTAAGGAAAGCCACACTCGCGTCCCAGCATATGGGCAAATTACAGCCTCTACTATGGACCGCAGCATTTTTTGTCATTTACAGAGAATGCTGTCAGGTTTTTTGGGAAGGGACTTTCGTTTTTGCCAATGCAAACAACTGGCCAGACCATGCTTTGGTTGTGTACAGATAAAGAGGACAGTAAGGTGGGATTCAGCTCCAAAACATACTTAAGTTGGCGTTGAGAGGTAAGGACTTACATGCCATTTGCATTAGCTGATAAAGGATATCATCCGTTTCCACTCACCCGGGACAACCTCCGTTCCCTCCACCATTCTCCCTTGGGCTGCAAAACCAGACTACCCACAGGTCAGGGCTCATTCCAGAGCTGGGGCCAGCCCATAGCACCCGGCTGCCGAGGAAGTGGCAATATATTTTAAAATACTGCACTTTAAAAGACAGATACCAGTGTGTTAAAAATACTCCTTAAAATCAAGGATGTGGAAATCCAAGCAAACTTCTCCTTCTGTTGTGGACAGTGAAGTAGCAGCATGTATTAAAAAAACAAACAAACAAAGCGGTGGGGGGAAAAAATGCCCCGCAAAATTTGTCAACTGGTTTACTGAGAGTAGAGCACTGAGCTGCACGTTAAAAGGAATGCCATTTCTATATGCTTGAAATCATCTGTATAGAGCAATACATCACAGCTACTCTGCCCAGATGGGAAAAGAGTCAGAGCTCTATGAGGAATCGGCAGTAGCCTGAAGGAAAAAGCTAGCAGTTATGCAATTCCTATCCATACACGTGCACACTGCCGTCTTCCCTGCACGCAGATGAGAATTTGTTCTGCTCCCTTTGAGTTTGCATGTCGTCTTTAACATGAAAAAGGCAGCTTGTCTGTATTTAAAAGATGGGCTAGCTATTCAGTATCTCAAAAAATGCTAACCATTTAATTAAGTACCTAAATCTAAATTTAGCAGGTCTAATTTAGCTGTTCAAGTTCAAATATGTGGACTCCAATGCACCTACAATACATATGCTCAGATACATGCGAGTGCCAATGAAAACTTTTAGTGAGGTTGAAAGCTGGGGACTCAGTCTGTTACGTTCTCCATTCTCTTTCTCTTCCCTAGTAATAGCACGTCAAATTGTTAATCAAGATTTTGGTTCTCCTGCTAATGTTTTTCCCCTGTCATAATTGCTGTCTAAAATCATAAACAATACTGCAAAGCTTTGCATTATGCATTTATGTTAAGTTGTTATCAATACAACTATATACAGAGCATTAACTATGTAATATATATTTATTATTCCTGTGTACCGAAATTCTATCGATTTCTTTCCCATCAAGAGCACAATGCTTCACTGCAAACTACCAGGTTTACAAAGGGATTACACAAAGTCTTTCCCACTCTACCTTAAAATCCCATTTTTCTTTTCATATCTTAGCAGATATCTCACGCTCAGTGTGAATCTCTCACCCCATTAAATAATAGCAGAGAAAGATAAAAACCAAAATCTTTCATTTTGTTTAAAAAATATAGAAAACAAACACCCACTGAGGCTCCAACACAGAAACCTGTGCTTAAACTTAGTAAAATTTAAGAGGGTATCTCAAGATAAGCATATATTGTAGCACTTCAGGTACCTTACGTGTGCTTAAATCTCATAAAAGTTAAGCACAAGCTTAAGTGCTTTTTTGAATCAAAGGCTCTGCAAGGTAGACCTCTGCAAGACCGAAAAGCGTTGTCTTCTGGCACTATCTATACTTTTATCCTGTCGGAGGTAACCGTCACTCCCACCTGAGAAGCAGCAGAGGTGAGTGTGTACCAGCCTCTTGGACACACCAGTTTGCTGTATTAGCCAAAACTCCCCTGAAAGTCCCTGTTTTGAACTTGAGGCCCCATCTTTTAGGCCCCAAAGACTTGCTCAATCAGCATGTGGCAAAGGTTTTGTCTGCCTCTTGAATTCTTAAATCCATAAGCCTAGTTTTGGTCTCCAAACAGTAGCAGTATTAAGAGTAATAAAAATAAATGATAGGAGAGTGCAAGCATTGAAAGTTGCCACAAAAATGGTATCTGCATGGTGAGGGGGAGTCAAGTGTTAGCCCACGAGAGCAGTTCAGGTGAGGTTTGTCTGATGGAGCTGTCACGCAATGAGCAGCAAGCCCGCCTCAGCAATGGGATCGCTAGGAAGGAGTGTCCCCTCTGGGGTTTGCTAATCCCAGGTTTGCCGGGCCACCGGCACCATGCCCATCTTGTGAAGGGGGTGCGAGATCCCCAGGAAGCTGCTGGCGTTGTCCACCTGTGAGCACCTCCAAGGGAAGACTATCTGAGACTCATCGTAAAGGCTCAAAAGCCTTGCACATGCACACACACATGAACACACACACACACACCCCCCCCCACGCCAGAGAATGACTCTCACCATCTTGCCCCTGGTCAAGAACCGTAACAAAGGCGATTTCCAGACTTCTGTGCTGTTTTTAAGAATGAAAGGCTGGAAATCAACGTTAAGGAAGCACCATGCTTGCCAGAAACACAGCATCACCAGCATTTGGGGAGCAGGGGGAGAACCAAACCAACAAAGCCCATCTTTCCCCTCCCCAGCCTCCTGCTACCCCATGAATGAAAAGGGAAGAGAGAAGAGTTGTCAGGTAATATCAACATCAGACGCCACAGGCAGTCATCAGATTTTCTTTCAGCTGCTTACCAGTGTGGCTCCTTTTATGTACCATTAGCACATTGGGCCCAATGCAAACCATGCCACAGACGTCACATTTCAGTTTACCATTCGGAAGCCGGATTCCTCCCTCGCTCGAGAGCTCCTGGATCTTTCTGTTATCCGCCATCTCGTTACTCTCAGTGAGGGGCTCTTCCAGGCTGCTTCCTTCATCATGAGCCCTGATCTCATCTTCCTGACTCAGGGGCTTCCTGTCACATTCCTCATCACTTTGCATTTCTAGCTTTACTGAATTTGCTGAAATAAAAAAATAAATTAAAAAATATTAAAAAAAGTGTATTTTCTAAGTTTCCAACAGCTAATATCATGATAAATTTCTACTATTATCAATATTAAAGCACAGCCTTGAAGCTCAAACCAACATGAGAGCCTCATGGTGGTGATGGCACCACAAGTTACAACTGCGTCTTTCTTCAAGGCCTTGTTTGAGTTTTTTAAATTCCTGATTTCTGTCCCTGTTTTACAGCTCAGAAGCTAAGGCACGGTGTGATCCAGAGACCTACCAAAGTCACAGATGTGCAGTGGGCTTAAGAACTGACCTCCTACTTCAGCTTGAAACACGGGAGTCCCCTTCCTTTCAAGGAGCCCAAGTCACAAGAGCGAAGGCCACAGCCAGAGCTGCTTCCCCAGGTCTCTCCTGCCTAGAGCACCAAGACACAGGGTTTCCAATGACAGAACACTGCACCGTCACAGCTCACAGAAACAAGCACCCTTCTCAGGCAGGATTGTTCAAAACGCGGGGACCTAGTAAAGCCGGGCTTGTGGGCTGTGGCGGTAATCTCCAAATCACTCTGCCTGCACGGACAGGTTTCCTGACGGAGGGGAGGCCAATGTCTGGATGAGCCTCCCGTGCTTTTTTGCTACCATCTTCTGATTCATGTAAATGGGACAGTGCCAAGGCAAACAGGTCTGAAGCAAGACCTACGCTGCGGCTGATTTATATATGTGAAATTAAGTGCAGTTGAAGATCTTTCATATCTGCTTGGTTAGACCAACGGGCTCACCGCTGATTTCTGTGATCCTCGGGTCACAGGACAAACCTCCTCTAACTAGTAAGAGCTTGTGAGATCAGCAAACCTTTAAAGAAAATTAATGCATCAGGCTTTTTCATGTAGAGGTGTCGGTGCAGGGGTGTTTTAATCACCAGACACCACTATTTCAGTGCCTCAACAGTCGCTCAAAACTGCCAAAAGGCCTGTCCCAGGGTCACACTCTCCATCCACACTCTCATCCAGAAGGCAAGCCCACGTGCCTGCTTCCCTAAGCCTTGATCCTGCTGAGGGGTTTAAAAAGGAGGTGATTCAGCCTTCATATCTAAGCAGTCTTTGACCTCTGTACTAAGGCCATTAGCACAAGTACCAGTGACAGCAGTGGACCCAGAGTGCAACCGCGTGCCCTGGGCCTGGCCAGTGTCTCCGAACCCCGACTAGGCGTGCTCCAGAGCAGCTGCCCAAGGGGACCCTGTCTGGGAACCCAACGAGAGAGATAAAAGTAAATGTGTCTGATTGCTGTAAGGCATCACATTTTCAAACAACCGGCCTGGAAACGTTGGAAGAACAAACCCTACTACTTAGATTTCCTCCTTTATCCTCCTTCCTCGGATTTACGGTTAAAGAAAACACAAGGTTCAGAGACTGATGTTGATGTTGCAACTCTAAATCACTGTTGTTACTCCTAGGCAAAGCATAATGAACAGGGCAAAGGCACCAGAGACCAAACAACGGGAAGATGTTGCTTTTTAATCATAAAATTCTTGAAACACATCTTCCACTAGTCAACAAGGCACTAATGGGAGCTAAGGAATGAAAGTACTATTACGGCAAAGTCCATCCAGAGCAAGGACACAGCCAGATCACAGCAGACTAATATCAGCACAGGCACCGTCATCGAAATGGTCTGTAGCTACGAAATATTTAAGCGCTTCATTTATAAAAGGGAATTGATATTTTTGTTGCCACAGAGATGCATTTATTGTTTAAATAAAGAAATAATGGCACAGACAGAGAGCTCAACCACAACCCAGCCGGTGCCCGGGTGCAGCGCACGGCTGTGCCCGGGGCGCAGGCTGGTCGTCCCCACCTGTGGACGGCTCTCTGCCCCACAGTGCTCACCCCGGCACCGACAGCACGCACAGGCAAACACGGGGATGAAAGCAACCTCTGGTACCCAAACCTGGCCACGAGAGAGACTCCCTAAACTTTACGTAATTGCAAATCACCTCCCCCCACAAGAACAAGATACATTTCTTTTAATAGCTTCTTCTGTGAGGCCACTGCTACCTCAACAAGGGGAGGAAGAAAGGCAGAAACAGGTCAACAGGAAGCTGTTTGCATGGGGAGCATGAGGGGGCCTGCCCTACCACAGCAGCAAGAGAAGCGATGGGAAGCCGTCCTACGCTTGTGCAGAGCCCAAGGTACGGTGGGTGGCACAGCCATCACCAGCCTCAC